TCCTACTGTACGCCATACCGTTGTGATACTGTAAACCTGAAGTATCCAATGCCCGAATTCGCTACAACTCAAGCAGCCGACGCCTGAATACCTGAAAAGTTACACCTCACAACAGTCCTTTCTGATGGGAATATGGTCAGAGGCAGAGCAGCATCGGTGCTCCTCCGATATGTGGGACACAGAGCATCACCACACGCTCCTGTGATGAGAAGTGCTGGAAGAATGTATACCAGGGTGCTTGCATGCGTTCTGAAGGACACATCTCAAGGTTCGCAGATGAACGCAGGAGTGCAGTGCCTGCAGGTTTTTCATCGCGACATCAAGTGCCCCAACATCTTGTTGGTGGTGGGCCCAGTCGCGTGCGTCGTCACATGGAATGCGGACTCGCTGCGGCTTCAGCTCCTGAGGATCGCAACGGCACTGCCAAGATTGCCGACTTCGCCGGGAGCCGAGAAATGATGCGAACCAGGGTCAGGGTGTGGCCGCTTGTGTTCACGAAGCTTCAGGGCGGCAGAGAGGCAGTTTGATCTTGTTTCTGGATCTTGCCAGTTGCCAGACGATCCCACGCGAGGCGTTGTTGAGCAAGCTTTCGCAACCTAAGTTGAGCTCGGTGTCATACAGATGATCCGAACTTCCAGGGTAAGTTGTCGAACGGGAGTCTGCAGAGTTCGGTTCTGGTGGTGGCCGCTGCACTGAGGGCTTGGCTTGCTGCTCCCACTACAAGGAGCAGAAGGTCCAGCAGGTGCCGCGACCGGACTGGCATTTGCTGCAGACAACCTATCCGCCTTATCCTCTTCACTCTGCAGCTGACAAGGCCGCCGGGACCGTGGGCTATGCCTGTCCGCACTATGTCAACAAAGGGGTGGTGACAGAGGGCAGTGAGGTGGGGCAGCTCGGGAATGATGTCATGGCGTGGAAAGGAAGAAAGTGTTGCAGCCGGGATTGCTCTAGAGACCGAGGTTTACTCTTTCGGCATTGTGCTGCTAGAGCTCCTGACCGCGGCACAGCCGGCCTACCAACTGCCGACACAGGCGGCCACAATGAGGCACGGTGCTGCCTTCATCATCTGCTGTGCAGTGCGCAAGTTGAGGCTCCCGATAGCGGCGTGCAGTACTGCTTCTTGGTCAGCCAGATCGGGAACGACGTGCGCGTGGCCGTGCAGATGGCCGACGCCAAGGCCCGGGACTCGTGGCTCCCCCATGCTGCCGTGCCTCCTCGTACCACCTCTCTCTCTCTCTCTCTCTCTCGGAGTCTCTTGAGGGTTCAAGGGGGGAGGGTACTGGGGGATCATGGGGGATCCTTAGGGCTTCAGGGAATGTTGGGGAGCACTAGGGTCACTAGGGAGAATCGGAGAGTGTTGGGTTGTGCAAGGCCCCTCTTTGCTCTAAACTTCGCATCGCTCTTGCCTCCTTGCAGCTTTGCGCGGTGTTTGAGGCGAAGTTCCCTGGGAACATCGCCCAGAGCTTCGCAGCGCTCGGGCTCCGCTGCACGGATTACACGGAGGACTTCGCGGCAGCTCTGCGGCAAAGGCCTCTTTCTTTGGGATCCTCCTCCCTGCAAAAGGAGTGCCGGCCGCTTTTTCGGGAGATCGTGACGAAGCTGAGGGCCCTCTTGAACACTCCCGAGGCCAGGCCAAGTCAAAATCAGCGACGCCGCTTCCTGCCAGCCACTTCCTGCCAGGCCCCGGCGCCGCCACCTCCTCCAGAGCCCGAGGCGTCTGCGCGACCCACCGCTCCGCAGCGCCCACATGAGCCTCAATCCTTTCAAGACCGCCACGGCTACCAGAGCCCTCTGGAGCTACAGGGCTTTGACATCCGCCACAACCAGCGCCCACAGGCCTTTGATGGCCGCGGCTACCAGCCCCAGCTTCAAGGTCTCGACACGCTTCCGGGCTTCCATCCCAGCTCGGAGGAGGAGAGGCGGCCCTCGGTACACCGCCAAGCTTCCGCGCAGGAACGCTTCCAAGGCTCCAAAGCCCTCACTTAGAGCTTTTGGTTGATGGCCTTTAAAGGCTCCAATGACTACTCAAGCTCTCCGGCCCCTCGTTCCTCTTTGTAAGTAGTTGGGACGCAGTGCTGCGTCCCTTCCTGGAGGCATCTCGGTGCAAGTGAATTTGCTTAGTGGGCCGCCGAGCCCTGCCAGCCGGGTACCCCAGAGCTCCGAAGCTGCCCTCTGCACATTCATTCATTCTCTCTCTCTCTCTCCGACGAGGCCTTCAGCTAGCGCCCGGCGCTGGCCGACCGCTTGGCCCCGGCCCCCCGCTCCAACCGGGGCTCCAAGCGCCCAGCCGGGCCTTGCTCTGGACCCTCGAGCCGCCGTCTCGGGGCCTTCTCTGCCTCTCGGACCCCGTGGACGACCCAGCAGACCCAGGTGCGTGAAGTCGGAGTGCAGCTCCGATCTGTCGGCCAAGCCCAAGGAGAGCTCTTGCTTCGTGGCCTGCCACGTGGTGTCTGGTCTGCGATTTGTTCTGCCAGGACCAAAGAGTCCTGGCACACTGGAGAGACATGCTCCCCTACGAAAGGGACATGGCCCACGCCTTGCCTCGTGGCTGCAGCGCGAGACCCTTTCTTCTGGCCAACCATCTCGGCACTTGCAGGCCCCACTATCGTTTCGGCCGTTTGTTTCAGAACGACTTCTGCCGAGTAATGCTTCCGGTGTGGATCCCAGCAGATATCGGACGCAGTGCTTTGTTCCATGGATTGCTTGGCTGTTCGCTGTGTAAACCGGGGCCTAGGGCCTAGCAAGTGTGCAGCACTGTAGCAGCTGAGAACGATCACTTCTTCTCGCAAGTGTCGCGGGAGCACTTCCAGATCTGGGTCGCGATCTCAGGTCTCGCGTCTCGCAGCGTCAAATTTATATTTTTCTCACGGCCCTAGTTGGCCGCCCTGGGAAGCGGCGAAGCGCCCCGTCTCTGGGCGACTCCGGGAGCCGAGGCTCAAGAGTGGCCGGATCTGGGCTTTGAGTTCAAGGGCCAGCCTTGCTCCTGCCGGGCCCTGGGTTTTTCTCTGTTTTTCGGCGGCTCTGCTTCTACGAGCTCTCTCTCCGCTTTGCACTGCTCTGCGCAGTTTTCCTTACGAACTTCGGCACCGTTGGGACCGTGGTGGACGGCCAAGTTCTCGACACGAAGGGGCAGCAGGCCGCCCTGCACCACGGTGCGGCGCTGAGAGCTCGTATAGGGCGTCTGGGCGCAGAGAGGAGCGGCGCATGGGCCAGAACTGAGGCAGTCGCATCGCCCTGCTCCGGAATGCAACGGACAACGGGCGGGAATCAAAGGCCTCACTGATGCCACAGGAGGTCTTTGTGCATCTGAGTGTGTGTGCTTTCTGCCGCTTGACCACCGGTCAGGTGGAGTTCTTGGAGTTCATCTTCAGTCTGGAAGGGCCCGGCCCTCTTCTAGGGTCCAAGGAGAAGTTGCAATCTATGCTGGGGGCAATCTGCCGTTCGCTGGCTTTTCCTAAGCCGTCGATCGGTCTTTGAGCAGGAGGATGCAGGAGGTCAGTTGCCGTCAGGGCCCGTCCTTTGTAAGGTCTGTCCTGGAGGATGCAGACGTCAGAGCCTGAGCTGGGGCTGCATTCGTGCTTCACCAAACCAGACGTGCAATGAAGATGTGAATATCCCGACGCCGCTTTCGTTGTGTTCCTGTCACGTCGGGACGGCTACGTGGGAAGCACCCGGCCGCAGCGCGGCAATACCCATGGAGCTGGCTGAGGAAATCTACGAGGCTGTGCCAGGTTCTCGGAGGACCGGGGTGCCTCGCACGAAGCCGATGTACCGAGAACATCTCGTGCAGGAAAAGCTTGTCCTCGTACTGCAGAGCCAACATTTTAGGGATGTCTTTGTGTCACGCTGTCCCGTTTTGAAGGAGTTGCGATGCACCTTCCGGGCCTCTTCTCGGAGGTGCGACCTGTACCGTGGTGTGCTATACACGGCCGGCGGCAGCATCGACATGCCCTCGAAAGCACCAGTACAGGAAAGGATGGCAGACACAAAACGCATCATCAGAAGGCCTTGACAGTCCACCTGGGTCATCCCTTCCACCATGATTGCTTGCGCGCCAACCTCGTCAAAAAGGGTTAGGCGCAGCATCTCCAAGGTAAGCCCCTCAGCGTCGAAGCATCGCAGGCAAGTACTTAAGGAACCAAGGGAGGACAAAACCCGACCTAGGAGGAATCGAAGACCAAAAACTACAAGGAATCCAAAAGGAAGCAATCACCTGATAATCAAACAGGCGGGGCGGAACCGACTCGCATGAAGGCAGACTAAGTGCTTGAAATAGACAGTGGTAGTGGCGAGAAAGCTCTGACGCATAGCTTAGCTTTCATGACCGGAGGCGTTTGTCCTTCGACGGAGACGGAGAGGCCGCGCATGCAGATGGTGCTGTGGACGTTGCTCTACGCTCTACGCGACTGTAGAGAACTCAACATGAGCCCAGGTGCGGTGACGCCGTGCAAGGCGGCATGTCCTTCGCAGGCACCGATGTGGAACCAGTCTTCGTCCTCGAGGAGCGGAGAAGTAGCAACCATGAGAGCCTTGCTGTGCTGTCCCGCGTGTCACTTGTAACCTGTCTCGCAGTTGGGCGGCACTGCTCTTCGTGCCGGTGTCCTTCGCCTCAGCCCGTCTCGTCAGCCTTGCAGTGCTTTCAGTCTGAAAGTGAGAGACAAGGTGCCACGCGAGAACTTCCGCGTGCTCCACGGGCCTTCGGCCTCGGCCATCGCGTCGGCGCCCAGCTGCGAGGCCCTCTGCGGTGCGCGGGAAGCCTCTGAGCGGCGCCCACCATCTTCTCCTCTTCTCTCTGAGAGGTGCCGTGCCCGCCCCTGACCTTGGGCAGCCGACTCCAACCAGGCCGGTGGCCGGAAAAAGCAAGGAACCTTATCGGCGCTCATCTCCCGTTGCGGCCCAGGCTTCTGGAAGAGGATCCTGACGGATGATGCGTGCGACCGGCCTGCTTTCGCTTCGCTCTTGACCTCTTGACAAAAGTCTTCGATGATGTCAGGAGGGGGCTCTTGGCAGAGCAGCACTTGCGGATCGAGGCGAGTGGCCGTGGGCCGTGTCAGTCGTGTAGAGAGTGCCAGCGGCACAGTGCCAGGTGGAAGAGAGCCTGGAGGGTCCGGAGCAAAAACGCTTCTACTTGAGGTGCCAGGAACTTGGCTGGTGCCGAGAGGGGCCCGCCTCTTTTTTGGCAGGAATCTCAGCGAGCTGTCTCTCAAAGTGGAGGGAGCGCCGGAGGCGAGGGACAGGGCAGCACACCTTTCGAGCCTTCTGGGGTTTCTGAGCAGGGGCATGACAGCACGCGCCTGCCGGACGAGGAGCGATTGAGGCGATTCAGGAAGACACTCGCAGGAAGAAGGAGTTGGACTCAGTAAGCTTTCCTTCTCAAAGAGGACGGGCGATGGCAGCTGCACGACGGAGACAGCGTTCTGCTGAACCTGTGCAAGGATTGGGTCCACCAGAGACTTGGGAGTGCAGCGGGTCATGAGCTTCCATTCGTTTTCTGGGCCCTGGCTGTCGCGTGCCAGGGTAGCTCCATGTGGATGTGTTTCCGGGAGTTCGCCGCCAAGGCACGAAGCTGAGGCTTGGCTCTGAAGCTTCGAAGAACTTCCACGTCTCTTTGATCCGCGAGGCTCAGCCGATCTGAGATGCGTCCCCAGGATCAGTGACTTAGCACTTAGTCACGCGGCGTCACTGGGACTCAGAGTGAGCGAAACAGGGGCCGCCTCTATGCACTTGACTTGCCTTCACGAAGGCCCTAAGAAACTCTTTGACTAAGGACTTAGGCAAATTGTACTTGTTCGCTTGCTCGTGCCTTTTGCTGCATGCACTGCCAGTTCCTCACTGGCGGTCTCCACGCCATCTTGTGCTGAAGCTGCAGATCTCCTTTTCTCTCCGTTTTCGGGCAACGAGTCGAGTCTCCTTTTAGGCCTCGGCCAGGTCACGGCCACAACACTTTCCTTGTTCGCATATTTTCACGAGCATCATGGGCATCCTGTGGGCATGGGGGCAGCGAGAACGCACCTAAACGCTGCATCCCGCGTGCGAGGCTAGCACCGGGCACAGGCGCGATGTGGCCAAGCTCGCGACCGTCCTGCTTGTTCAGCTTGCGAGCACGTTGTTTTCCTCGCCGACGAAAGCCCTTCCAGCGGGCCCTGCGCAAATTCGCATCTCTTCGGTTTCAAACTCTCCCACACGATCCTTATTGACACAAGTCGAACCCGAGGGGTTTCTTGTGGGTGGTGCCATCAAAAGAGCTCAGGCAGAAAGGCTTGGAATGCTGAGTCTTTTGCAGCCATGGTGGCGCACCGAAGTTACAAGCAAGTCTGCCTAAAGCATGGTAAAGTTGTGCATAATCTAGGGGCACAAGATGCAGTGGCTACCGTGGGAAGCACATGCCAATCAAGTCGCGCGAATTGTGCCCAGCCCGTCGCCGAAGGGCATCAACTCGACCCATTCAAAGGCCAGAGTTGATCGCCGGGTTGAACGGATTGCAAATCACCGCCGACAGCGCTTGGCCAATGCCGAAGTTCCCAAAGCCACCCACGAATCCAGAATGTGCAACGCACTTAAGTGGGAACGAGCAGGCTTTGCTTCTGTCGAGTTTCTCAGCGTTGTCAGCAACTTGGCAGCTTCCGCAGCCGCTACGGCGTAACACACCAAGCCTCACAATTTGACGCACATGCCGTCACGACATCCTCGTGAGCTTGTCGCCAAGCTCCTGCGCTGTATACGTACCATGCCAGCGAATGTGACGCGCGCATCCAATTATGACTAGCACCGCGCCACGTGCTGCGGGAGCAACGGCTTGCTAGCTCGGCGAGCCCCGATTTCGAACCCGCATGGGCGCGGGTCGCTCGTGAAGCTGAAGGTGGTCGTGTGTTACCCTGCCTTGAAGCTTCGTGGCGCACCAAGCATGTCAGCGGACGTATCGCTGCTCTTGTGTCAGTTTGGCTTGGCACCACCTACGCGTGAGTGGAACCGATATGATATGCAAGCTGCCGAGACTCAAGTACTCTCGTCCCTCGTTGCTTGCCGTTGGCCCAGAATGGCTGCTTTCGGCAACAGTAGCGCGTAGAGTTGTCTCTGCTGCTTGCCCTTGGTGTCCCAGTTTCGCTGATCAAGACAAAGAGTCTGCTTGGCGTTTGGTTTACGCCGCCACTGCCAACAGCACCAGTGCTGTCATTGAGTGAGGTTCTCGGTCTTCGACGGTGCGCGGCTACACGGCATCCTTGGCGCGCAGCTGGCGTCCGCTCATGCCACAGCAGCCCAACCCAACCACTGCGGACGCGTGCAAAGGGGATGGCGCGCATTGTGTGCAACTTTGCGTCTGCGCGCTGTGCATCGGCCCCAGCGACAGGACGGCCAGCGCGATTGAACGGGGACAAAAGCACATGCATGTGTCTCTTCTTTCGTCGTCACCCCGTAAACGACGAAATCTAGGCGGGAACTGCCTGCACGAGCATCTGCAGCGATGAGAGTTGTGGCAGTATGTCCCATGGTCGACGCTTCTGCCGTTTCGGTACGACGGACCCGCCGCTGGCTGCTTCGCAGTCTGGAGAAGCGTGTGTGGTGAAAAAGATTGGATCCTCACACGCCCTATACTCCAAAGCTGCAGATCGATGACGTGACTAGACGTCGCTGAAAGGCTGTGGTCGTGGCGGAGCCCGGAAGCGAAGACCGCGGCACAGCGCGAGCTCGGCAGCGGGCGAAGCGGGACGGGGACCAGTCGGGACCGGCACAGGGCGCTTCCAGACCTCAGCGGTGAGAAAGGTCCCCGAGAACTAGTCGAACCAAGCGACGTGTCGCATCGTCCACGCCGGAAGGCATGGGAGTGATGCCCCTGCCAGTGCCGGGCAAATGCGCTTGCCGCGGGCAACTGTCACCACGCCGCCTTCGCCACCTCTTGGGCGCTGTCGACACACGTTCTGTATGATTCGAAGCTGGCGCTAGGGTCGCCCGTAACGTTGACATAGGTTGACATGAACCTCGACGTGCCAGTTGCGACGAACGGCGCATCGAGGTCGTCGCCAGCGTGCTGCCGTTGTGCCACAATTATCGTGTCCCCCCTGACACGGCGAAGGGAGGCCCACACCGCGCTGGCACCCTGCCAGGCAATGCGGTCAGCGCTGAAGCACGGTGCAAACGTCACAACAATGGATGAAAGTTGGTCCCTGACGGGCCCGAAGGAGTGGTGCTAACCGGCAACTTCCCTCGTACAAAGCATTCGCGCTTTACCTTTTGGACGGAACGCGCAAGGGTTCCCCGTGCAAACTACGCGCACCGTTACCCGACTCCAGCACAATCATCAGCGCACCTCTGCGAGGAGCTCATGTAGCTCTGAGCGGACTAGACTAGACCATGGCGCAACCCAGGTAGTGATCGCGGCGGGTCGGAGCTGGCGTGGGACGGCGGCGGCACGGTGAAACGACTTCCTGTTACTATATGACAGCACTATTACCCCCCTTTGCATCTACTGTCACCACGACCACGGCGTCTGTTATCACTACGGCCATCGCGGCCTCTGTTGCACTGCTGCCAATCAAACAAGCTAAGCCAAGGTTTGCCAACTTCGACCAGCCAGGACACCGTCTCCGAGGCTGGCAGCGGTACGCCGCCCGCGCCTGTGACCAGCGCGCGTTCGAGACGCTTTAACGCTGTTGTCCCAAGCTGGGCCACACACTTTGCTCACGAAGCAGTCACCAGCCCTTCCGTAGAGTTCTGCGTGCTCCTCCTCCGCCGCCTGCGCGTTGCGCTGCCGCTCGTGCCCCGACTCTGCGCCTGCCGTCGTCTGCTTGACCCGCTCGGCGACGACCGAGCAGCGCGTGCGACCTGCGGCGCCCTTGCTTCCCGCGGCTTCCCGCTTGAGCGAGCTTTCGCGAGGGTCTGCCAGGAGGCGGGCGTTCGGGTCGCTCGCAATGTGCTTTTTGCCGACATGAACCTCCCAATCCCCGTGCCCGACGCGCCCGGATAGAGATCGTCTGCAATGGCTTTCCGCTCGCGCACGGGGCCTGGCTTGCTGTTGACACTACCTGTGTCAGTCACTCGCTCCTGTGTCAGCCCTGGCACTCGCTCCGGCGAGCCGCAGCCCGGAGCTGACAGTCAGCCCGCCCTCGCCCTTCGGCCGCCGTTCAGCAAGCAACGCGGTGTAAGCGTCGTGACACCTACCCGATGCCACCTTGTGGTATTTGCTGTTGAGATTGGTGGCCGCTGGGGTTCCGAGCCTGCCACCTTCCTAGGGCTCCTTGCACGAGCGCGAGCTGCACGTGCGCACGCTGCCATTCACTCAGCTCTGCGTGCGGCTTACGTTTCCCGCTGGAGCAGCATCATCGCCGTCGCAGCGCAGAGGGCCCTCGCCAGCTCTTTGCTCGAGCTCCCCCTCGACACCGTCGCCTTGAGTTGCCGGCGAGCCGGCCGTGCATGAGGTCTTGCAGGATGAACGCAGGCGCCACGCCCCTGCCTCCAGCCGACTTCCGGCGAGGGCCTAAGCCCCCGGCGCAGATGTCGGTTGTAGCTGCACTGGGACCGCGCTCGTGGTGGCAGCAAAAAGGTGTGGTATAGAAAAACACTGAGCTCGCTGACGGGGGCGCGCAAGCCCTGTGTGCTCGGCTGCGAGGTGGTGGGCGGTGGAGCGCCGATGCAGTGAGGCTGGTCAGGCGCCTCTCGCCTTTCGCGCGCAAACAAGAGCTGCGTGGGCGCGCCGCTGGTGGAGCGTGCTTTCAGTCGTGGTCCAACAGGCCCTTGGTCACACTGCGCTAAGGCGCGCCCGGGCCATGCCGGGCCCGGCACACGCTGCTGCGCCGGACTTGGGCTAGGTCTTGGACCTGGCCGACCCAGAAGGGCCTGCCGCTGCGCGGCGGAGCCGGCGCTAACACGGGACCACACATCCCGTCCTGGAAACCCGGCTTAGCCGGACACGACTGCTGCGGGAAAGAGGTGTTGGAAAATACGCATTCTTTTGCGTAGGATGAAACGGACGTTCAAATTGAAGATTGACACACGACGCAAGGCATTTAACATATTTTTGAAAAACTTGAAAGTATTAAAAATTTGGACGAAAGCAAAAAAAACAAAACACGGAAAGAGGTTTGCAAAAACAGTGCCTCGCCAGCTTGCTGGAGCTTGACGCTCCCCTGACCCCCTCCACAGTACGGGCAGCCCAACTCCTGCGACGGTTCGGTGGGCTCGGCCGCGCTGTGCCAGCTCCGACCGCTATTGCACGCGGCTCACTGAGCGTCTTGGTGCGACACCCTCCCTGCCGTCCAAGCCCGCGCGCCCGCCGCTGCTGACCGCCTGCTCCGAGCGCTCCGTGGCGAGGGCGTCCTGCCTTGTGCCACCGCTGCGATCCTCACGCGGCACTCTGCGACTGCAGCTTTGACGCCCCGGATTGGTCTGCGAGCCCCGCACCCTGTCCCGACAACACAGTACCCCGCGAACGTTGGCCGATCAAGGGCTGGCAGCGACTCGCTGCCCACGCTTGTGACACGCGCGAGTACGAGATGCACCTGTCTGACCTTACACCGGCTTCTTGAGCGCAGCTGCTGTCCCAAGCTGGGCCGTTTCGCCGCCCGCGCTTTTGACGTCACACCCACGCGGGATGACTTTACCATACCCAGTGCCTTGTTTCTTCTCCTGCTGCGCCGCTTG